CTTCAGAATGGAGAGGTTTGATCCTCTTGCAGTCCATGGGACTCTCAAGAGTCTCCTCCAGCACCATAATTCAAAGGCATCAATTCTTCGGCAATCAGCCTTCTTTATGGTCCAGCTCTCACTTCCATACATCGGAGGAATTATACTTCTGAGTAGTAGAATTACTCTGGTTAAAATATTGTCAGCATATAACACTTTATTTGCTACCCCAAAGATGGGAAATACTTCAACAAGAGATATGCAAAATATGCAAAAACCATCCATGCACTTTTCAGCTGCAAGCATGCACTTTTTTCTGGATACAATTGCATTTGCAGAGTTGGAGGCTTTGAACATTTGTAAAGTAGGGCTTGCAGTTTAGCTGCACATTACACACTGCTTTGTGGAGTTTATATTTGTCTTTAGTCCTGTCAAGATTGATAAAGGGCCCCCAACTGGGGAGGACCCCATCACCCAAACTTAGTTTAAAAAGAAATCTGTGGAGAAAAGGGAAGGTGAAACTTGAGTGGAGTTATTAAGAATTAAATATAGGGCTTTGTTTCTGTGGAAAATAGCATTTCGTGTTTGGAGTCAGCCTTGCCAATTACTGAAATGTCCCCCCCCAACAGCTTTCTGCCTTAAAACAGTTCCCCACCCCTTCCCCTAATGGCTGGACAATGTTGCGAAAAGGGATGTGGTCCAGCTGTGGCTTTTGATACCATACCATCTAGTGATTATAAGTTTCTGAATTGGCTCTGTGATTTGGAAGTTTGGGGCATGGTGATATAGTTGTTCCATTCTTAACTTGCAGGGCTGTTTCCAGAAGGGATTTTTTCCTTCATTCCCTGCTCGACGCTTCTGCTGTGGGTACCCTCAGCTTGTCGTTTGTACTTTCAGATATGTGGGGATTTGGCTGACATCAGAATTAGGTGAAGTGCTGGAAGTCTGGACTTTGTTTAAAAAAAAAAAAGCAAAGCTGGATGATGGTCAGTAATGGGAAACTCAGGTCTAACAACGTGGAGTTTCTGTGGGTAAACAGTTCACAGATTCAGAGAGATGGTATTCCATCTGTTTGTGATGGCTGTGTACTTCTCATGGACCAAGTTTGCAAATTGGGGTGTTCCTTGAGCCGGTTTTGTTGCTGGGTGCCCCAGTATAAAGTACCTTTTACTGATTTCCTTTCAGCTGTTTCTTTTTGGAATTTTACGTATTGAATTGCATTTGGGGAAAGTCTATTCCTAATCACCATATTCGGCAAATAACTTTTGCAATTAACTGACGGTACCGACTTGTATGACCCAAAACTATGACTGAATAATAAAACAGCTGGCCAGCCTCTCTCCTATATAACAGATAAAATACCGGGGAGTGTAGGCTAACGGAAGAGCCATTGCTTTCAGCAGTTCTGTTCCTTCATCCAGAGAATACCAAGAGTTTAAATTGCTGAAATGAAGTAACTAATCAGCAGAGCCTGTGAATGTGCCAAAACATGTGAAGGCTTGGTATAAACCTGCTTTCGTTGCAAATCGAGTGTTGCAAACTATAATTAGAAAATCGCATAAGTGTGCAGAAACAGGTATCTTTATCTGCTGCCAAAATATATGGAATGAAAAGTACAGATTTCTGCATAGCGCTGAATGTTGCCAGCTATGTCAGTGCTGCTGAGATGGGTTTGTTTGTTTGTTTGTTGTTTGTTTGTTTTGGAGGGGGGGACTTGAGCAGGAAACACTGACTCTCGGCCAGTGTTAGAAACTCTGATATATAAGCTAGGTGCCAAATGGCTCCTTAAACCAGGATTATGGTCGCCAAAACGGAATGTCTAGTTGCCATTTGGGGACCAAACGGCTCAAAAGTCGTATTTTTCAGCACAACTTTTTGGTTCCTGAAATTCGTTCTGATTGGGCAGATAAAATACCATGGATAGAATACTACAGGATGTGTTGCTAGTGTGTGAAAACAGTCAAGATCCAAGGATCCCCAGGGACGCACCTCCAGATGGTGGAGATGTCAGGTGCATCATGGCGCCTGGGCATCTTCACTTGGTCACAAGTGGCTGATAGCCAGGTGAAAAATGCACCTGGCAAATTTTGAATGCTGCTCCAGACAGTGACCTATTTCAGCTATTATGACTCCTGAATACCAAATTCTGAACCAATATTGTAATGTATTTGAAACTTCATTCACAAGAAGATTCAGTACTAAGAAACGTAATTTGTTATAAGCTTTCATGAATTTTTATTGAATGCATCTGCAGCCAGTTCAGTTAAATGTTGACCTTCTTTTATTTGTAATACAGAAGCAAACATGGTCATGGGCTGCATTCCCTTCCATGACAGTATATAGTCCCATCAGAGCTGACCAGAATCCCACCATGGTCCTTGCTGTATGCTAGGCCTGTGGTTCTTAACTCTCGCTCTGCTTGTCATAACATTGAGCATTTTGCTAGTATTGCATAAATCTTTACAAGCAGTGAGTTTCCTTCCTTCTCTTCCATATTGAAAAGTTTAAAAAGTTGTCCTTACAGTGGCCAAATGTTTGCAGATGTCAAGGTATTTAATAGAAGGTAGGTTGCAATCTTCAATTCAAGCATTATTTCACTATTGAATTGTTAGTTACTGGAACATATCAAGGGCCTTGTTTTGTGGAAATTTGTTCATGGGTTTTTGTTGGTTTAGGGCTGGTTCCTGATGTTAATTGCACTCTCTCACTGTTGTTAGAAGGGACTTGTTATAAATATTTGGAAATCTTAATTGCTAGAAGTGTGTACATTGAAGTGGAAAATGGCTTAGTCACTGCCATCGAATGCGGAAATAATGAGGTCATTAACCTGAGATATGTACTTTGTCCAATTACTACCCATTCTCTTGATAGTAATATCTCTCCAGTTACCATCTCTGGTTCCTTTTAATAGTGCTCTGTATGTTGATACACAAGACATTGTTCAGTGGCGGTCGGGAAGTTTTCATCATAGATCAGACCGTGGCCAACTTCTACTGCAGACTGAAGTAGTGTTTTCCTGCAATTGTATCACACACCACAATAGCTTGGTTTCTTTGCTGTCACTTCGCCAGCTTGCATGGCCACTGACTTTTAGGCTAGAGGGAAGTCTTTAGTTACAGTTCTTTAGATAAGCACACGGAAAGATGGGAAAGGGAGTTAGCTGTGGAACGTATCGGGAGGAATCACTGACATTTTCCTCATTTAGTTAATGTGACACTTGAAGCTCCGTAGATTAATTTGACAAGCATACTTGTGTGTCATCCCCACCCACCCCTTTCCTCCTGCTGCAGTTTCAACTCAGGTTTTGTACAGCAGATTTTTGTTTATGCCATTTAGGTGAATAATCTGCCAGAATGCATCAGGTATGTTCAGCTACCCCTAGACAGGCGTTTAACTTGAACTATTTTCGGTGTGTAATTAAGCGGTGATGTAGTCAACCCAAAATGGCTTGTGCGAGAGACAACTGTTTAGAATAGGATTTATTTTTAAAATACCTTGTGTTTTTGTCTGCTCGTATCAGAATTATTTCCTTTATGTTAACCAAAGCACTTTAACTAGATCCTGTATCACACTGAAAGCCTGGGGAGGGGTCGGCTTCTTTCTCACTCTAGTTGTAGTCCAAATATATGTGTAAGATTATGGCTGGGTGGTTTTTTTCTATGTGTTGTCCTTGTTTTTCCACAGTTGAAATCCCAAACAGCGCTTGAATTTTGCTTGTCCCAGATAAACTGAGCCTGCAACCTAATTGAAATTCCATAATGAAATTCACTACCTTCAGAGGTTTACAAGCAAAATAACGTGTGTGTGTGTGTGTGTGTGTGTGTGTGTACAGGGAGCATTAAAGAATAGTTCCTGTGTTAGATCTTTATCACAGTAACATTTGAATTTAATATTACTGTTTGAGCTGGTGAAGGTTGTATTACTCCTTCTGCTGCTAGCTGTTTAATAAATACCTTGGTACTCTGTTGCAGGTTGTGAAAGTATTGTGCTTCAAAACATTGCACTCCTGTGGGTTTTATTTTATTTTAAGTAATTGTTAGCTCCTTTTTCTGCTGCATATCAGACACAACTAAAAGCAAAATAGGAGATTATTAGGTGCACAGTACCTCTAAAATCTGAAATGCTGTGACGTTGAATATCCTGTGTTGACTCCTATCCAGAACCATGCCTAGTGATTTCCCTACTGCTATACTCTGCACCTGAGATCTCGGTTTGGCTGCACATTAGCAAGTTGCACAAATTCACTGCATGTCACAATGTAGGTCATGTACATATTTTAGCGTCAAAATTTACCAATAAAATGTGCACAAATAATTTTGTGTATGTATTGTGCACGATCACACCATTTCTTGGTTTAAATGGTTTTTATTTTATGAAATTGCAGTGGAATCGGTTTGAATGTTAATGGGAGCCACGCAGAACCTTTAGACAACCAACTTTTGGTACCTTGTTTCAACTTCTTTCTCTGCAACTAAAATGGATTGAAAATCGGTTGGTTGCATTTTCAAAGAGTTGTTATTCCCACAATGCAATACTAACTGGTTATAAAAAGAGTAATTTCCTTTTCTATGCTGCCAACAGTTCTGTGTGTATTAATTCTCTAGTGACTTCGGAAAGAAATGCACTGAAAGGGCACATCAAAGCTTCATTTAGTAGCTAGCCTTCTGAGATGAAAAGGAAGCTTCTTAAAAAGTTACGGGGTTTTTTCCTCCAGCAGTTTTCTGGCATCATAGAACAATTCCTCTATGTCTTCATTATTTTGTTGACACATCTAGGACTCGACTACATTGGCAAAGAAAAAACATTTTATGTGTGTTATTTATGCATTCTAACACGGTGACACCAGAGGGCGCTGTGGGGTTCTGTTTTTGCCAACCTGATTTCTCAGGCAAAGTTTGCAACGTGTTTAAATGAAGCACTTCTTCTAGATCCAGCCCTAGCGTTTTCGAGTTCTGTATTAGATCTACAAACCATGTTTTGTTTAATGCTTTTTAGAAACTTTTATGTTATTTTTTTAACAGGTTTGGGGAAAACAAAGCGGAAGACGAGTGCCAGAGACGCCTCACCGACCCCTAGTACTGATGCTGAGTACCCATCTAACGGTAGCAACGCCGATCGGATTTATGATCTGAACATCCCAGCGTATGTTAAATTTGCCTATGTGGCAGAAAGGGAAGATGAACTCTCTCTCGTGAAAGGATCCCGAGTCATTGTTATGGAAAAGTGCAGCGATGGCTGGTGGAGAGGGAGTTACAACGGACAAATTGGATGGTTTCCTTCAAACTACGTGGTAGAAGAAGTCGAGGAAGCGACTGCCGATTCGCCGAGTTTTCTCAGCTTGAGGAAGGGAGCCTCCATGAGCAATGGCCAAGCCATGAAAGTACTTCACGTTGTTCAGACATTGTACCCCTTCAGTTCTGTCACAGAAGAAGAGCTCAACTTCGAGAAAGGCGAAACCATGGAAGTGATAGAGAAACCTGAGAATGACCCGGAATGGTGGAAATGTAAAAATTCCCGAGGGCAAATTGGCCTCGTTCCGAAAAACTATGTAGTAATCTTAAGTGATGGCCCTACAAGTAACAGTTCCCACCCGCCTCCGATAAGCTACACAGGGCCCTCTACTACGGGACGGTTTGCAGGAAGAGAATGGTATTATGGGAATGTTACTCGGCATCAGGCAGAATGTGCTCTAAACGAACGGGGAGCGGAAGGGGACTTCCTTGTCAGAGACAGTGAATCTTCGGTAAGTGGCACCCATTTCAGAATCTGAAATTTTGCAAAGTACTGTATTTCGATTTTGCAATGTATCGTGCAGTGTGTGTGTGTGTGTGTGTGTGTGAGAGAGAGAGAGAGAGAGAGAGAGAGAGAGAGAGAGAGAGAGAAATAGTACAGAAAGTGACCATTTCTCTTACGCTAAAGAAAGTGACTTACATCTCAAAATACCTTATATTGGTTAAAACTAATATATAAATATATTTGCTATATGCAGAGACAGAGAAAAACAGAGCAAACCACTCTAGTATATGATGTGCAGTACATCTTAAAGGAGAAATGCAAATGGAACTTTCGGTGTCATTTTATACTTTAAAAAAAAATTTGAATGCAGGTAGAGGTTCTGTTAAAAGCTTTTACAACAACTTTTCAGAGTCTATAAATTATTTCACAAAACAAGTTCTTAACTATGCCGATGCACCTGAGGTCATAACAAAATATTCGTGTGAAAGTTTTAATTGAGTTGGATTGTTAATACAATTTTCTTGGTTTTGTTTTGTTTCTGCTAGAATTATTTCCTTAATACAAATGAAATTCCAATGTTGCAGTATGTATTCTACATGCGAGCAGACTGTGTAAAAGTTCTCTCAGTTAAGTTCTCCTTTGCTTCTGGCTTCTTCATCGAAGTAACTTTGAAAGCTTCTAAGACAGAGGTCAGCAACCTTATCAGAGGATGGGCCGGCCGATGCTCGTCCGTCCCAAGGATGGGCCGGAGTGTGTATGTGCACCCACGCTCTTCCAGGTCAGAGGAGCACGCATGCACACACACAGTATTTCCTGCGCTCCGACCCGGAAGTGCGCCAGAAATAGCGTGTGTGCATTCTCACAAGTGCTTCGTCTCGCATGCGTGTGCACACGCTATTTCCGGCGCACATCTGGGTTGGAGGAGCGCCCGGGCGCATGCGCTCAGGCACCATCTACCTGGAACTCGCTCCCCGCACCGGTAAGAGCGGGGGGCGGCAGGGGTCACCATGGGCCGGTTAGACAAACCTTGTGGGCCGCTACTAGCCCATGGGCCTTAGGTTGCTGACTCCTGATCTAAGAGAACAACCATGTTTGGTCTCTTGCAGCAAAGAGTAGAATTATGATCTTAGGCATATTTGGGAGTAATCTTCCTGAAATCTACGCATAGCTAAGGAGTTCTGTGGCACCTTTCAAAACGGACTACAGTGGTACCTCGGGTTACATACGCTTCAGGTTACAGATTCCGCTAACCCAGAAATATTACCTCAGGTTAAGAACTTTGCTTCAGGATAAGAACAGAAATCGTGCTCCGGGGGGCGCAGCAGCAGCGGGAGGCCCCATTAGCTAAAGTGGTGCTTCAGGTTAAGAACATTTTCAGGTTAGGAACGGACCTCCGGAACGAATTAAGTACTTAACCAGAGGTACCACTGTAATTTATTGCAGCAAGAGCTGTCATTGGACGCAGCTGAATAACCTTCAGCTCTTTTTCAGATGGGCTTTTTATTCTCGCCACTTCCTGTGGGTTTCACACTCAGGCTTTCCCCAGCTACCACTTTGAGATGGACTGGATCTCAAATAACAATGAATGAAAAAGCCAGTATGTTTGGGTGGATTACAAATCTGTACACGTCCCCCGCTTATTTCAGAAGTTATTTTAATACGGTTTCTTAATTTGTTCTAGCCACCTTATATCACACTCGAGAATTTTGTTTGTATATTATAAACAGGAGATATTCTCTCATGTGTCAAGCCGGATTACTGAATTTCCTGTATCATTTATCATGTGTGTCTCCTCGGCTGCTGGCTTTGGCAGCAGTTGGTGGTTTTAATAACCATTCTCTAGCAAACTTGCAATTAGCTCTTTGCCCAGGGCAGCTAACTATTTCTGCCGGCAACTAGTTTGCCAGACCCGCTGCACAAGCTGTCCTATGTAGGAGCCAGCTGGTAATATTTTCTCAGTAGTTGTGTACAAGACAGCTCAATCTGATTGTTCTTCCCTGCATATTTTTTTGCTTTTGGTTTTTTTGCACTAGCAGAGTTACTAAAATAGTCAACGGCCTAGTTTTACTGCTTTTCCCATCATGAGACTTTGTGTGTTCTGTTTTTTGAAGTCATCTTAAGGGGATAGCTTTGCTTGAGTGGTCAGGGCATGAAACTGAGTCCAGCTGCAGTAGAAGCAATCAAGGGAAAAAATTGTCAGGCTTCTATTCCGCAGCAAGAGAATGGAGCATATAAACAAGAGATCTTATTTTGGCCCTTTCAGCCTCCCGGGGGCAACGGATGTGCTTTGTACCAGCCTAAGATTGCTTCCTGGGAAAGCAGAGTAGGACACCCCCATTCTCTTCATTTTGCATTCCCCTATCCAGGATGAATAAGCTTTTAACTGCTTGTTTTAAAACAGGTAAGGTGAAATAACATAGTATACAATGCCAATAAAAAAGATACAATATAAAGGAGTAAGAATAAATGTGTGAGGATGTACGTTGGCCTGAAATTTACAAATTCCAAGGCAAAAATCAAATATATTTTCTACATTGGTATCTGAAGTTATACTTTCAGCTTCCTGTGAAAGGGATGGCAGAAGGTAGATAAGGAAGTATCTAGATCTTATGCTTGACATGAAGTAGGACCACAAGATACTGAGGCTCCCCAGAACCTTCTAGGGCAGCTAGAAACGCAAGGAAAAATCTAAAGGTAAAGGGAGGGACCCCTGACTGTTAGGTCCAGTCGTGGCAGACTCTGGGGTTGCGGCGCTCATCTCACTTTACTGGCCGAGGGAGCCGGCGTACAGCTTCCAGGTCATGTGGTCAGCATGACTAAGCCGCTTCTGGCAAACCAGAGCAGCACACGGAAACGCCGTTTACCTTCCCACCGGAGCAGTACCTATTTATCTACTTGCACTTTGATGTGTTTTCAAACTGCTAGGTGGGCAGGAGCAGCGACCGCCGACCTTCTGATCGGCAAGTCCTAGGCTCTGTGGTTTAACCCACAGCACCACCCGCGTCCCCTAAGGAAAAATCTAGCCTTGTGCTAATTGCTTCTCACTCATACTCTGTGTTCCTCACCTATAAAATATGAGATTAATTGATTTAACTAGCTGTTCCGTGCTAGAATTTTGCTCTAGCATCCCCCGTCAGATGTAAAGTAAAATTTGTAGTTGACTACGCAGGTTATCCCATTTTGTGATTCAGGGGGCAGTTCATTTTGCCCCTGAGCCAGTATTTTCCTTATGGTCAAGCTAGTGTTCCTCTAGCTACTGGGCTACTACTAAAATGAGGCTGCATTTTAAGCCGTATTTTAATTAACTGGTTTTCCCCCCATTACGTTTTATTGTAATTTATATTTGGTGTTAGCCATCCTGAGCCCGGCCCTGGCTGGGGAGGGCGGGGTATAAATAAAATTATTCTTATTCTTATTGACCTTGCGGGCTGGTAAACTCCATAGATGATTCTATGTGCAAATTAAAATAATAGATTAACTTAAATATTTTAAAACAATGTAATAAATGTTTAAGTAAAATAAATATAAATAATTTTTAAACCTGGTTAATAGAGCCACATCCATTGACCAGAGACTTCCAGAGGGATGCAGTGCACATTTTACTGCATGTAACAACACAAGCACAGCATTTGCCATTTTGTTATTAAACCCCCTCAAAAGTATTATGCAACGTATAATATTTGCAACTTTTTGTGTTCAGCACACTTTAACGTACATCCTCTTATTGGTCCTTGCAACCCTGTTGTAAGGCGAATTTTTATTGCCACCCCTTCTTTCAGATGAGGAGAGGGTGAACAAGACAGCAGTAGATGGCGAGTTCATGGCTAAGATGACATTTAAGTTGACATTCGCTGTCCATACATAGCTCCAGGTTCTATGCCATTCTTGATAAACTATTAATTAAGATGCTGCCTTTTGTGAGCTTGGGTTTAGAATGTGAGGTGGGGGAGTTGAACCCTGGAATATGGAGGCGTCTACAGTCCTTCACTTCCTCCTGGAGTCCCTGGCAGCAGCTCAAGATCTGTGGAGGTGTTAGGAGACCTTAAGTGTTTGTGTGTATGCTCTAACTCTGCCTCCTCTCCCCCTCCCCTCGCCATGGCCTTTCAAAAGATAGTTGTATGAAGTGGTGAGCATTTTCTATCCATTGATGCTCCCCATGTCTTAGGTCTCTGCCTCATGCATCTCTTCTGTTTGCAATCCCCCAAGAATAATCCTTCCATAGGCCTTTAGTTATGAGGCAAATTAACCTTCCCACTGAATTTCAGACAGGGCAGGAAACCAGCTGTGGCTTCAAGTTCCCAAATTTGCTTTTCAGGCAACTTGCTACCTATGAATTCTCAGTTCTCTCTGCTGACTAAGAATGTCACCAGCGTGTTCCAAATGCGGAACGACCAAGTTCAGAACCTGCTCTTACGAATTAGATGCACATTGCACGACCATCGTGATGGACAGCTGTCAAGAGGAACTTCCTTGAAAGTGGCTTGTTGTGTGGGACATTAGTCTAAGAATCAGTCTTAAGTACAAAGGCAAAGGCAATGTTCTTTTCTGTAGGAAGTCGGGCCATGGTATACTCTCGTAACTCAAGAATTGTCCACTGCTCAAAAACAGAACAGAGAGCTGTAGCTGCTCCCTTCGTTAAAATAATATGGGGAGGAAAGTTTTATTCTACATCTTAGAACCACATACACTGGAAGGATCTACAGCAAAGCCTCATACCACAGATGAGGGGAATTAAATGTTCATAGATATAGGTTAAATACATTTTGACTGAGTGGATTGGACTACAGTATGCGATTTTCAGTGTTTTGATTCTTCCAGAAGTGACTTAATGCATTACTTTGTCTACAAAATGAGGTAATAATTGAGGCTTTTGCTGAGAAGAGCTGTAAAGATCATGGTTATCTGAGAAAGCAGACAGCAGAATCGTGGGCTGGCATGAAATTTTCTGTTTTACCTTAGTCTACAAGAAATAGCGGGAAGGGGTGCAAAATAGGGCACACATTCTGCAAAATCACAATGTGACTGGCATTACCTTTTTTCTATGAGAAAGAGAGTGTAAAAAAGTGAATGCAGAAAATGTAGGTGCGTAAGTAACCTTTTGCACCATAAAGGTAAAGGGACCCCTGACCATTAGGTCCAGTCGTGGCCGACTCTGGGGTTGCGGCGCTCATCTCGCTTTATTGGCCGAGGGAGCCGGCGTACAGCTTCCGGGTCATGTGGCCAGAATGACTAAGCAGCTTCTGGCGAACCAGAGCAGCGCACGGAAACGCCGTTTACCTTCCCGCCAGAGCGGTACCTGTTTATCTACTTGCACTTTGACGTGCTTTCGAACTGCTAGGTTGGCAGCAGCTGGGACCGAGCAACGGGAGCTCACCCTGTTAGGGGATTCGAACCGCCGACCTTCTGATCGGCAACTCCTAGGCTCTGTGGTTTAACCCACAGTGCCACCCGCGTGCCTTTTGCGCCATACGATTTATAATATTCAAGCACTTTCCAACAATTTTACTATCAAGTAACTTCCTTTTGCAATAGCTGGTGGTGGGTTTTCATTGTGTTTTGGTTAATCCTTGTACAGTATCATCACACATATTTGTTTAGGTTATTATGCCAGTGTGGATGGTGCAGGTCGGCTCTTCATTATAGTCTCCTAGGTGCCGCTTAGAAGCATTGACCCCTAGCAAATAACCAGTTCAGATGTGCCCTTAAAAGTGCCTGTGAGCTACTCTACAACTCCAGAAGCCCAAGCATGGGAAAGATTGCGTGCGAGCCATCCGACTGTAGCAGCTATGTCCAGTGGGAAAAGGAGCAGAAATATCTGCCAAGAGCTGAAACGAAAAAGGCAAACAGACACAAAATATAAAAATAAACACTCTTGGAACAAGTTCAAGGCAGACAGCAGGGAATAGTTTTAGGCTGCATTTTAACTTCAATGCAGTATATAGGATGACAGTGCTAAGATGCAAAAAAGAGAGAGAGAGGTCTTAGACTTTAATGGAACTGTTTGCATTGTAGGGGAAAACAGTAATAAATAAGCCAAATCACTTTTACATTTTCTTCAAGTTTCCTCCGTTACCTAAAATATGAGCCCGTGGTGGGGAGGAGGATAACAGGAGCCTGACATTTTTGCAGCAGCTGTTCAAGTTCTTCAGATTCTCCTATTTGACTGTGCTTCTCTCTCGAAAGAACTAAAGTGCCTTTTCGCTGCTTTTTTTTTAAATGCCTAAGGACCCCAAAAGGATCTCATTTTTGTAGCCTGATGGAAGAAAAGTGACACGTACTTGTATTTTATATGTAAATTTAGGTAGTAAATCTTGGAACTGGGAAGACGATCATTGCTTTAATGTCAGTCCTTGAGTAGGAACTCATTTCAAGTGACAGAAAAGCCCTATTACGTTTTCCCTGTCTACCTTGTTAATAATTAGGCTGGAGCAGTTGCACGTCTCCTGTTCAAGGTATTCTTTCTCTCTCTCTCCCTTCCCACCCTCTTTCCCAGACACAATTATCTGCTGCTGCCACCATAGAAAGCAGCCACAGCACAGTGTTGATGTTGTTGCCCTAATACCGTGGGAAATACAGTGCAATCCTGGTGCAGGTGTCTCTGGCTTCCAGTCTAGTTTCCTTACAGCTCTGCCTATAATTACTTTTACTTTAGTATTATAAATGGCTGCTCTAAGGCTTTCCCAATACCTCAGTCTTCGGGAGAACACTTAAGGCAGTTCATACGCAGTCAGCTCTCGAAGGGAGGACCGGGGGAGCTGTGCTTTTGCCATACCATTCATCTGTCAGATTCCTATTTTGACAAATAACACATAACTTACATTTTATCACATAAATATAATATTAAAATTAGGTTCCAGTAGCCAGTAATGTCGCTTCTCGTACTTAAGTTCTGATTTCCATGAATTACTCCCTTGTAATTTCAGTGATATATTTTTTTTCTAATAGAATTTGTTGCTGGAAAATGACAGAGATTGTTAAGCCGTTTTAGTTATTTAAATAGAAAAGCCTAGAAATTTTCTTGATTCTTCTGAGACATTTGCTTCCTATCTCATTTTCATATTTTTCTACAGCACACACACACACACCAACTTGGATTATACCAGTAGAGTAATACAGTCATACCTTAGTTTTTGAACAGCTTAGTTCTTGAACGTTTTGGCTCCCGAACGCCGCAAACCCGGAAGTGACTGTTCCAGTTTGCGAACTATTTTTGGAAGCCGAACATCTGATAGGGCTTCCGATTGGCTGCAGGAGCTTCCTGCAGCCAATCAGAAGCCGCGCTTTGCTTTCTGAACATTTTGGAAGTCGAACGGACTTCCAGATTGGATTTCGTTCAACTTCCAAGGTACGACTGTAACTTGATGTTACAGTTCATGTTCTCTGCCTTGGTTCCAGGTAGTGTTGTCTAAGCGTACTTATTTCCTCCTGGTGTGTGGAATCAGCCAGAAGTGTGTAGGTTGGCTGGCAATTTAGGAAAATTGGGCTGGATGTGGAACAGACAGCTACAACCAGAGGGGTCTAAATCACTGGAAATTCCAGATTGCCTGGATAGTGTAGTGGAAAACCTCCACCCATGAACAGAGTGTAATCCAAAATAACTGCCAGTAAAATTTATGTTACTGCTTTTTAGCTAAGAGCAATATGTAGCTCAGTCGACCTCATTGTTAAGGTGGAGCTAAAGATTTGAAATAATAGGCAGTTATCAATTAACACTGCAGTGTTTTTCAGTAGTTACTGCCAATTGAAATTAGTAGGGAAAGAGGTGCTTCTTTATATGCTAACCTTGTAAGCATCCTAAGTAATGGATATATTCTTTTGTTTCTTACCTAGTTCTGTAGCTTGAAAGAAGCTCTTGACAATCCATGGCTGGGCACACAAACTTAAATGAATTGTTTTGTCTGCTAGTATTTAACATTGCTATTTCTTCTGCTCGTTTATACAACCCTGGCTTAATACATTGGCCTTAAATGTGTAAAACCAGATGGGAAGTTAATTGTAGCAAACAAAATAAATCTGGCACAGAAATGCATATTGGGAACTCGTCTACTTTTAAAAAGAGGCAGAAAAAAGGGGTGCTGTGCTGGTGACCAAGCAGAGGGAATAAATTCTGTCTGCACAAGTGTATAATATATACACTAAAAAATAAAGCAGGTGTTTGAAACACCCATTCCTGGAGAAATGTTGGCAGCTCAGTTTATGGTGGAATAAGAGACACCGATTTTAACTACCTTTTTTGGGTGAGTAATACAATACTGCAGATGTGCCATGTTGTTTAAAGTTAAATAGGATGAACTGTTGGGTCTTTTTATATGTATAAAAGCTACTTGCTACAGAATAAATCAAGAAAGGCCCTCTTGTGGCCATGGATTCAAACGGCATGCTTCTTTAGCTAGGCTCTTTCTTCATAGGAATATTTGGTATTTCCAAATGCATATAGACATACTTCTCTTGACACTTGTCGGCCTCTGGCTTTAAACCAACAGTGTTTGCATTCGAGGTGCATAATTTATATCTGTATATGGTGCTGTTGAGGTTCTTTCGCTTAACTAAAGATGCTGATTATGATGATAGTAATTCGTATTTCAAAGTACCCAGAACGCTGAGCCCAGTGGGGGGAAGCTCACTCGCAGCTCATTCACCTGGTAACATAGCAGGCTTTAAAACTGCACATTTGATATTATCATTTAACACTTCCTTTCCTTTTTCTCTTTGCAGCCCAGTGACTTTTCAGTATCTCTAAAGGCATCGGGGAAGAATAAACATTTCAAGGTGCAGCTGGTGGACAGTGTCTATTGCATTGGGCAGCGTCGATTTAATACTATGGATGAGTTGGTGGAACACTACAAAAAGGCTCCTATCTTCACCAGTGAACATGGGGAAAAGTTATATCTTGTGAAAGCACTTCAGTGACGTTGAAGATGGACTTGGGCCTATTGGGGGCCTCTTATAACTTACAAGCCTTAGGTCCTAAATTCACTTTTATAGAGCAGAGCAGTCTACGCCAGTCTGAGACAGTCTTCAGAGAATGACCTCTTTCTAAAGTATTTGCTCTGTTGATTATATTCTTTCTCCTTCGTTTCTCCACCCCGTTTTTCTCTCTCTCTCTTTTTTTGCTTACTTGGTCTTTTTCCCCCTCTTTCTCGAAAATTTGGTTGCTTCACGTTTCCCTCAGGTTGAAAATATCACTTAAGTGGCCATTCTTCCCTGGGTTCTACGCTCCTCTCTTCTGTGTACGTTTACATAGTTAGTTCACATAAACAAGGGGTTTTTTCTCAATTAAAAAACAGTGTTAACTTGTTCAGATAGCTCACGCTGGCAGAACTCATCATTAAGAGACTGGGCACAGTTTGAATGCACTGAACCTGCAGCTAACTAAGTGAAATATAGTAGACATAACAATTGTGGCTGTGAGTTCTGTAGCTATTTTGCTTACCAAGTAGTATACTCCAGAAATTCCTAGTTTCTAGAAGCACTCTTTACATTCTCTACTCAGCTATTACATTGCCTCCTTGATTCTTTGTGAAGAGTACACTAACTAAAGCATTTTGTAATAGTACTTCTTAAACTACTACGGTAAAAATTGTAGTAATAAGAAAACTATCTAGCATACTTTGACATGTAATTGCAACAGAGATGTTTCATTGAAAGTTGATTACTTAGAGAATCATTGAATTGTAATGGTTGAATGTTTTGGTAATCTACAACCAAATGTGCCATCCACATAATGCTTTCTTTTCTTGCCCTTCTGCTTGTTTGAATTAAACAATTATGTATTTAATTCTTAAAGTAATATGTATCTGTAGCTGATTGACACTAATACAGACATTTAATAAACATAGCTAATTATGGGCGGGTGGGGCTTCCAGCACATAACATGCATACGTTTTATATATGCATAACGGAACAAAAATTCAGGGTTTACAAACGGTGATGTGATTGGTAGTAAGACACACAGAATGTTATATGAAGAAAATGCTTTCTTTTTCCTTTTTCTTTACTTTTAACCTTCTTATGGTTTTAAATATAGTCTTGATGGCACATTCCTGAAAATTGAAAAGGAAAAAAAAAAGGACCTTGATGATCCCAGAAACTTGCTTACCCAGCTTTTTGGATATTGTAATAAAAAAGGTATCATGTGAAGATGGAGTATTGAATTTATCCTTGGGTGATGACCTTAAGAGTCCTATAGCATGATGAAATGTGGTTAAATGTCACGATTTATATACTGACCGTGAGATTTAGGTAGTTTGATCAGATTGGCCAAAACAAATTGCAATGTTCTTCTTGTATTTAAATCTTGAATTCATGCCAAATGTATGGACAGTTGCTTTGTTTGATTTCTTTGAATTCTAATATAATACTAACATTGGGGAACTGCTGCCTGTAGTCAAAGGGCCTCTCGCTGCAGTAGTCTTTCAGGTTCTTTTAACTCATGTCAGCAATGGCCATTGTACCTGATGGTCTTTTCTATATGTAAGTTACCTTCTCAAGATGATTAAAAGCCCACCACTCTTGAATTAGTTCCAATAGGCTTAGATGTCTTTAGAATGGGATTAGACAATTTCATGGGGAATGGGTCTATTTGCTGCAGTGGCTAAATGGAGAATCCATATTCCATCCTTATTCCTCTGGACACTGGTTGCTTGTGCAAAGGAAGGAGGACAAACCGGTAGCGCAACATGATTGCCTTCAAGCCCTTCTTGCAGGCATCTGGTTGGCCAATCTGGCAAAGGAAGATGCTTGACTAGGATGGACCTTTGGTAGAATCCAGCAGAGCAGCTGTGACATTCATCTGAATTTTACTGGGACACAGCTCACTGGAGTCACCCTAGATTCTGGCCCAGAGTATGTGTGTTAAACATATTTAGGCCACAGTAATTTATTCTGAAGTGCTCACATTGATGCTGATAGAACTTCCCTACAGTTGAAGGAAGGCTGGATGTTTACAGCCTTAAACTTCAGTGGTGCTAAATAGACTTGAGTCCAAGTATGATCACCGTTCTTATGTGCCACAGCTGTGAATGTGCTCCATTGCCAAGGGTCAGGAACAAATAAATTTTGAAGCCAAACCAGGAAATTGCCCCTTTAGCCTGGCAGAAGCTGGTGGCAGGCACATGAGAATCAGTTGACAGGGGATCCTTTTCTCCACACGGAAAATTTCTCCCACCATTAAATGACAGGATTAAGCTATACATGCAATAAACACTTTAGTGAAGACAATTTCAGCTCATCTGATGTGAATGTGGGTGATCTAATCTTATGAATGTCTAATGTATTTTGAATAAGTTCATGGGCTTCGTACAGATGTAGATCCACAGACATTCACCATGGTTTGTTTGTTTAAAAATAATAATTCTAGTTTTAAATTGTATTGATTTTAAGTACACTATTTTCATTTCATTTTTTTCTGTATTTATCTGATACATTCTTTTTCAGTTGCTATTTTATATTTATTCAAGTTGAATAGTTGAGTAAGCACTGTAGTTGAGAATATTTATGAATGAGTAAGAATGCAATGCACCAAAACTTTCTGATTCAGCCCTGTTGAACTTTATTGCAACAGTGCTTGTGTAGTTCCTTATTAATTATGTTGAACACTTACTTAAAAAAAAACCCTTTAGAGGTTGGGGTACTGAACTCTTCAAACTACTTGGGTTGAACAGGATGCAATAAGTTTTATACAATGAGCTGTTGTTCTCCATGTTGCTTTCTATTTCAATACGACAAAATGTTTGCCTTTGTTGTTAAAATGCATTGATTGATTGAGCTCTTGATAGTGAGATGTGAATCCTTTTTCTTCGAACAATTGGTAGCTTAATTTATCGCACCTCAAATGCAAAATAAATAGCTCAGATTATTTCTTCCAGTGAGTAACAGCTTGACTTTGTCAGCACTGAATTCAGTAACTGAGTTGATCCGTCTACAAATTGGTTTTAAATTCTTCCTGGTGTTCCTCACCACTTTGGTATCAATCTCAAAAAAAATTTGTCCTTTTGCAGGCATAAAGGTTTGGGGTTTTAAAACCGGCCTCTTTCTTGGGGGGTTAAATATAGAAACCATAAATTCATTACAAAACATTTAAAGTTATTAAGGTGGCATCTTCTTTTACAAAAAGAGAGAGAGAGAGTTTTCATGATGTTCATGATTTCAAATGTTCAGCCATCGAAGTGGCACAATCCTTCCATGCAGTTGCATCATCACAGTTTTCAGATGTTAAATTGGTTATTTTTGAAGGCTCTCTGTATTCTCCCTTCAATAGCAAGTTTCTATCTGAGATGTGGGGATGTTTTCAAACCTATAAACTCCCCACCTGACAGTGGAGTTTGTTCCAGCCTGAAGGGACAGGGGAAGTTGTCTTATTATTGCCCTTCACTAGTTTTTCTCTGCCTGTTGTTTCATTTGCTTGTTTGTTTTGGAACATAGACAGATAGACAAAAAAAGAGCTAGTGCGGTTACCTCTGGCTTGATTTACAGTTGCTTTGTGATGGATGGCAGTCTTCCGCTAGCTGTTGGTGATTCTGAGAGATGGTTTTGGGGAGGGAGGTCCATCCTTGCGTCAGCTTTCAGACTGGTTGGCAAGGTGCTGGCCTAGTTTCAAAGAAAAAAGCCATTGCTCCTGTTATTATATACAAATCTATTTCTTTAGCATTTGAACCTGTTCTTCTGACGCAGTGATCCCTTCTTTGACTGTTGCTGAAACAAAGGTGGAGTCTTTAAGAAAATAAGTTTGCAGACAGGCCTCCAATAGTGGCAAGAGGGAGGCTTATTCCTATGCATGGGTTGTTTTCTGTTTGTGAACTGATGTCGTATAGCTTAATTCACTTTACTATACCCATATCTTTTTCATCTTTATGCTCTTCTTCTTTTCTTGCTTCAGAATTTTACCAGTGTCGAACAGCTAGGTCAGGCATGGCCAAAATTGGCTCCCCAGCTGTTTTGAGACTACAGTTCCCATCGTCCCTGACCACTGGTCCTGTTAGGTAGGGATGATGGGAGCTGTAGTCCCAAAACAGCTGGAGGGCCAAGTTTGGCCAGGCCTGAGCTAGGTGTTCTCACTGGACGTCCACAAGAAAATTATACAGCGAATAAACCACCATTATGCCTTCTGCTCACACCTTTAGCAGAGCCTTTGCGCTTTTGTGTAATCCAGAGTCGGTTGTCACGAGAAGCAACGTTGAATGCTACTGCAATGTGATATTTTAGCTTGGAAGTAAATCAGCAACTATCCTGCCAAACATTTGCTATCTTGTTTTTGTGTCCTTCCGCATACATGTGTTGTCATTAATTTTCATTTCATTTCTATACCACTTAATATTTTTACGAATAAATCTCAAAGCAGCTTATAAAGCATTAAAACATCAGATGAAACAACACAGAATAAAACATTAGTGAAGAAAGTCAAGTATGACATTGCAGTTAGTGATATGCATACTGCAAGCCATAGTTTGGACTGTAACTAACCATGGGTTTGCTTGGAGCCAGAGACGTCCCACTTTCTTAACCTTTTGTCATGTGGACTGTGTTTTTCATATAGGGCCCTCCTACTTTCCTCCCACATTTTGAGCACTGGGGGTCTGTCTCATGTATGCTGAGCATCTCTTTGACCAAATATCTGCAGAGATCTAGTATCCTTGTGAAATGTATTTTGCTTCATAAGGTGGAATCACGAGCTGCACATTTTTATCATTTCAGGAATGTGAAATATATTTTCATTTAGCAAACGATCCAGGATTTATGCTGGATTGTAATAATATCTAACCCTCTAAAAACGTCTTAGTTTCCTTCTGGCATGTGCCTGTCACAGAAGTGAGATTGACAGGCAACTTCTTTGTACGCCAATATATTCCCCCCCCCCCTTTGGGCCGTTCCTTCGAACTTGCTGAGTTTGTCTTGGAGCATAATGGATAAAACAATACAAATGCTTTAAGGGGGCTGTAAAAATAAAGCATGTTGGGGTCATAATAAAAGAATTGTGCTTTGGCTCTGTTTCAAACAGGAATAATAATTCAAAGGACTTTAACGCTGGGTAGTTTCATACAATCTTTCTGTACAAGAAATTGGGAGTATAAGAATGTCCCAAAATAAATACATGTTGACAATTCTGGGGTACCTTTTTTGGACTCTGGATTTGGAGCCCAACAACTGAATTAGACAGATTAATATACCAGCACGATAAATGAAACAGTATTTGGTAATTGGATGCCTGTCTTTTCCCAAGGAACTTGCCTGTGTGGGCAACTTTTTACAATTTAGCTGCTGGCTTGAATGAGAGTACCTTCTAGTTGTATTTTTTGTCCATTGACTGTCTTTCCTGTTGTCCCTCTTAAAGTATTGTAAATTAATTTGATTATATTCTCCTTGATCTTTATTTAATTGCTCATAATAGTATTTAATGGTATTGTTGATTTTTCAGATATAGCCTGTTCATTTGTCTTCATGTGAAAAGGAAATCAATTCCAGTCACTCTGCCCTCTGTGTCTAGTAGGTGCATTTCAGTCTTTAAAGTTGTGTGGTAGGATACTACTATAGAGTGGCACAGAGGCTGCAGCCCTTTTACAAAATGGCCTTCCCTCATCTCACACGAACAGTGACAGCTGAAAGAAGCAGAAGAAAATCAAACTCATGGTTTGTAAGTCTGTGTTTTGGAAGTGTTCCTCTCAGTATATGAAATGTAGCAGTACCGCAGCTTCCTGGTTATCTTGATGAGTTTCCCTTACCACAATCTGAAATGCCTCCCTTAGCAGGGCTACTCGCTGTGTTGATGCGAATACCACAGAACTCCCTTCCTCTGCCTAGGCCACCAACATAACTTGGGCCATTTATTTTTGTCTTAAGAATCCTGAGGTAACTAAAATTTTGCTCTGAGAAGGATAAACAGTGAGTTTTGGAATCACGGGTGTTAGGAGCTTATCTTCAAATTAGCGGTGTTGGGGTTTTCAGGAATTCTGAGCACTCAGTTTGACGAAACAGCACCAAAAGGAAGCTGCTCTGAATGTTAAGTGTTTCTCAAGCTCCGTCTCACAGCAATTTGTATCAAAAAATCAATTTACTGGACAAATTTGCTTCCTTACATTACTTGTGAAAATGAGAAATGAAATGTTGTTTTTCTTCTTCTGTGAATTAAGATGAAGCCGATCTCTTTGCATTCCTCAGAAGTGATGATCTACCAATTTCCAAAAAGATCTAACCCTCTTGGTTTTACTTAATGGGTGCAAAGTGAATTTTACAAGGAAAATGGGCATTGTATTGCATTGCTTGTATTGCATTGCAAAATGACACAAAAGCAGCAATGTTGCTGTATAATGGCATGTATATAATTTATAGCAGTTATTGCAATGATAGCACTGTTGCACAATACAGGGATACCTCAGGTTAAGAACTTAATTTGTTCTGGAGGTCCGTTTGTAACCTGAAACTGTTCTTAACCTGAGGTACCACTGTAGCTAATGGGGCCTCCCGCTGCCGCCATGCGATTTCTGTTCTCATCCTGAGGTAAAGTTCTTAACCCGAGGTACTATTTCTGGGTTAGCGGAGTCTGTAACCTGAAGTGTCTGTAACCTGAGGTACCACTGTATAGAATCGTAGGATCTTAGAATTGGGAGGGATCCTGAGGGTCATCTAGTTCAATCCCCTGCAATGCAAGAATCTCAGCTGAAACATCCATGACAGATGGCCATCCAACCTCTGCTGAAAAACCTCCAAGGAAGGAGAGTCCGCCACCTTCTGAGGGGAGACCATTCCACTGTCTTACAGCTCTTTCCATCATAAAGTTCTTCCTGATGTTCAGTCGGAATCTCCCTTCCTGTAACTTGAAGCCATTGATTCAGGTCCTGTCCTCCAGAGCAGGAGAAAAGCTTGCTCCATTTTCCATGTGGCAGCCCTTTATATACTTGAAAATTGCTACCATATGAGTAATTGCTGTGTGCAACTTGATTAAATGTCTGAAAGCGAAGAGTAACATTGTAAGGCTTACAGAAATGTCTACATACCTTCCAGAAGCAGTGACAGATATGGAGGAACCACCAGAAACAAATGGAATACTGGGGAGTGCTGACCCAACTTGTTTTGGTGTACAAGAAATCCTGAAACAAACTTATTTTTTCAAAATGCATAAATTTGATCACTTGGAATACACCTTTTTCTACTGTTGCAAACTTAGAGTGAGGATGCCATGGGTTTATTGAGCATGCCCAAGATGAACAGGGCAAGTATCTTCTTGATATGTGTCCGTTTTCATAAACTCGTCAACACAGAAACTTCAAATCAATACAGAATCCAGAATTTACTTGAAGAAATTATCGTGTGTGCGTGTGTAAAATAACATCCTGCTTCATGGCTCCAAAATCCCCTAAAAATAGTTTACAAAAGAAATAAATAAAGCCACACTCATGTCTTGTGCTAGGACAGAAATTCCATACTGGCTATAGAGAGCCTGGATTATTCAGGAAGCATTTCCTGCCTTCGCCGTCATCATCGTTCCCTGGTCTCGTACCACGCTGCACTTCTCATCAAAATCCTTTGAGACGAGGGAGCAGCTGGAGCTAATTCCAGCCTATGGCAAGAAGTCTTCCCTTGTTCCCTTTACAAATCTAGGAACTTGCAGTCAACAGCTGTAGCTCCTCCCTGGCCAGAAGGCAATACCATATTGTGAACTTGCTAAAGTATACTTTGAATTTCTTGGATGTTTGTCTGGAGAAATGCGTACCTGAAAATTTGTGTTTGCTAACTCACAGGTGTTTGTTTTAGGCTGCTCAGGACTTAGCTAATCGTTCTTTTGTCACAGGTAGGTAGCTGTGTTGGTCTGCCCTAGTCGAAACAAAATAAAAAAAATCCTTCCAGTAGCACCTTAGAGACCAACTAAG